CTCAGTCAATTCTTCTGTGTTGTTCAGTGTGTAGCCACTGAATCGTTGTACTCATGTAAAGAAGGTGAAACTGAAAATCTGCAATGCAGAAAATGGAATGGATGAAGCGTTTACTATTGCCACACAGTTTGGGTGAAACTACAATATGTGCAGGGGAAGAAGCCCTAAGGAAGCATGGTCTTTTGTCACTTTGATAGATGACTTTGATTTAGTCATTTACTACTGGCTTGCATACTAGATTTTTCAGTAGTAGAAGTAATTAAAAGTGGGTAAGACAAGAATGCTGGAAGTGTTTCTTATTGATATGTAATCGCAGTCAATATATCTGGGATTTTTCCTTATCTTGGTCTGAATTCTCAGTGAGCTCTGAATTAAACTTGCAAACAAACAAAAAACACAACAGCGAACAAAACCAAAACCCAACCAATGCAAAACACAATGTCCTTGCAATAGGAATATCTAGACTCAAAATAGAGAGAAAATTTGCAGTTCACTACTAGCAAGTTGAACCTTGGTTATAGTTATCAGTGAGAACATGTAAAAAAGGCCAGTTGAGTTTAGATTCAGTAACAGAGATGTCTGAATCAGTTAATTACATGTAGATTATGTGTGAGCAAGGTGTCTGGTTGATGGAGAGCCTACCAATACACTTGATGGAGACCAGAGAGCTACTCATCAATCATTCATTTGGTCAAATGAGGTGTGTATTAATGGGTGAGCTGGATAGTTCTCTAGATTTAACTGACTGTAATGAATAGACCTTCAATACATATAGTGGCATTTTACATATCTATTTCATATCGGCTTACCTAGCCTTCTCCTGCAAACAAAATCATTATTGCAAAAGATAAGTTGAGATTAAAAGCTGCCTTAACTGCTATTGACAGTATTGACAATGTTTATTCTCCTATATAAATGTGTTTTATAAAATCTTCCAATCAACACTGTAGTTTCTACACAGCAAAATATTCTGCTGCTTACCACTCTGGTACTGAGATCTTACAACTTAGAGGGTGTAGACTGTATGTAAACCTTTTGGCATTGTTGAGTGTCCATAATCATTTCTGTATCCATGGTAACTGCAGGAGAGAAAGTATGGGCGTATAATCCTTATTAAGTAGTACAATATTATGTTTCTCTTGGTAGACAAAGAGATGATAGCTATTCATAGGCATGTCAAATAACCAGCACATGTCAAAATTGAACACATGCTAATTAGCAGGAAAATAGAAATTGTTTTAGCATGATTTTAATATGTGATAATAATTCAGGAATAGAGAAACAAAATTTTTGGAGCTTCTTTTCTGAATAAGGTTAGGCAAATTGACTGATATTAAAAGTAATGTTGTAATTAAGTAGGATTTTTTTTTTCTCATTTTATGAACCATTTTAGGTAGCAAAATTCAGCCTATTTTAGAAGATTTTGAACATCATTTCAAAAAAACCAACCTAATTGGACACAACTTTTGTTTTATACTATCTATCTTTCACCCATTGAATTTTGGGAAAGCCTGAAGAAACTGTAAGGCCGTTTTCTTATTGTCAAGAAAGAGCAAAAGTTGCACATAGACACAAGCAAAATTAAACGCAAGGCAAATTTCAGCACTGATGTTTGAATAAGATAAACCTACTCCCTCAAGCACATAGATCTATAGAGGTATGTGTATGAGTGGGAAATGGATGTAACTGAAAAACATGGACTTTAAGAACAAAGGCTATTTTGCTGTAAAAGAGAAAGAGAAACCGCCAATTCTGTACACGGGCAAAAATAGTTTCTACAAGTGGAAGTTTTTTCCCCAGTCATCTCTGTGTTTTCAGCTGCAAGCATAGATTCTGATCCCACAGCAATTTTTTTCTCCAACTGCTGGCCCACAGAAATTTGGCATCAGTGGCTTCCCAGCCATGAATGTCATTCATTGAGTAGAAATCTTTTTTTTTTCTTTTTCTTTTTTTTTTCCTGTTTTTAACCGGGGGAAGGGAGAGTTGGTTTCTTTTTTTTCTTTTTTTTTCTTTCTTTTTTTTTTTTTTTCATTTTCTCCAACTATGAGATACTGATTTTGGGGTTCTGATGTCCTTTACAGTGTCAGAAACTGATTACATTTAGCAGATTCTATTTAAAGAAAAAAGATTGGAAGTCTTCAGATTGATATTTTCTGACATAATTAGGTGTGTTTTTTCTCTGCTTTACCATTCAGCTATGGAAGTGGCTGACATGGAGGTGGAAGACAACAGTGCTTATGTATGTGTGTGAGATTATTAAATAACATTTTGATTTTCTATACTTTATCCAAAAATTTCACTATGGAATTAAAAAAAAGTTTATAGGTTTTGAATGTTTTAGTCCTCCCTAAGTACTTTATCATAGCTGAGCCCTTATTATGAATAGGGAATAGTTCACTGTAGGAATGGTAAGGAACAAAATCTTCATTCTGGATTGGAATCTGACAGTGAACATGAGGACTATAATCCATTTTGTTTTCTGAGTGCCTTCAAAGTACTTTTCAAACTCTATAATTCCAACAAAAGAAAGGTAGGAAAGTACAAGATCTTGCATCAACTGTGTTCTACCAATTACATATCTGATTTGAAGAATCTGATAAATTCAATAAATGGGAGTAACGGAGCTCTAGAAGAACGAACACATATCTGGAAGGTATCTCAGATGCTCAGTTCAAGGCATTATGCATTACTATTGTAAGGGAGAACCAACTAACATTTTGTTTTTGATACGTCTGCCTAATCAGTACTTAAAAACTTCATGATTTTTCCAAGTTAATGACTTCCAGTGATTCCGTTTCTTTCATCATTTAGAAAGCATTCCCTGTAATATCTGAGCCAAATTATGCAGCCTGCATGTATTGTTCTGTTCCTGGAGACATTCATAACTTGTAATCATAAAACTAGAATGATCTAGTTTGGTGATGTGACTTTTGACAGCAAGTTTTCCTCGAGAGGAAGAGATTAGTCAGATATATTATATAGTTCTGTTGTGGATGCAGAGTTAGTTGCTTTGTTCTCATTTTAAGTGTTCTCCTGGAAGTACTGCAGTATGTTTCAATATGTGTGTTTAGCTGGTTCAGTAATTGTGATGATTGAAGACATTAATAACAAAACCATAGTGAAGTTTAAGGATAGTAATACCCTTAAGCCATTTTAGCAGTTCTCTGAGCAAGATTAATATTTATGGGATTTTTTTGTTGTTCCTCTAGAAGGTTGCAGGGGCTGGGGACATCACCCATTCTTGATCTGTATAAGTAGACTCAATTCCCTAAAGAATCTGTGGATCTGGAATTCTGTGCCCAGGAGGGTTAAAGCTTGATGTAATTTACTATTTACATTCTCTAACAAACACTCAAGTAACTGATGTAGAAATATCCATAATGTTTCTTAGCAATATTGCTTAGATGACTACGGCTCCTGGAACAGAACTAAGCTATGGAAAGCATAGGTATTTTCACTGACATGAATGTAGAGTAGAGGAAGGAGTCTTGGAAATAAAGGGCACACCCATATCTGAATGGCCTAACCTGCTCCAGAATTCCCATAATCTATTGAGACAGACATGAATCGTGGATAGTGGACGCTGAATCTAGCTATACTGAAACTTCCTACTGAAAGTGGATTGTGTTTTGCCAGGAGAATAATGATCAATGTGCATACAGTTCAGACATTCCAGTTTATCCATCTCATGGTGTTTCTTACCAATTTACCATAAGGGGTGAGGGGCAGAAAGGAAGGAGAAGTAGCCATTTAATGTGCCAGAGAACTCAAACAACTTTGTTGGTAATCCCCTCCTGGTGGGCGATAGTGTATCTGACTTGAACTGTACTCCCACGATGGCCTGGGATTTCCATCTGAAAAACAGCAGGGCTTTGTATTATATTGTTTTGGTTTTTTGTTGTTTTTTTTTTTTCCCTGTGCTGTACCATCTTATTAGATGTCTGTGAAAGTACTTAAGCAACATTCCTCACAATTTCAAAGGAAGACTCTATGCAAGACTTTCCTCATGGTTCATTGTAAACTTTTGAACTTAATTTCCTTTGCTGATCAGCAACAGTAGCATTTCTAACCGTGTAGGCATGGCACAAAGCTCTTATTTTTCCTATGGGTATTTTAAAAAGGTGCTAAGGAAAATGATTTTAAATAAATATTTAGTATTATTTCTTAATTAGGTCCCTGCTGGAAGCATAATTTTTCATAGGCAATTCAAATAATTGTAGTGAGTATGTGTAAGTATTACATATGTAAGTAGTGTTGCAGAGGACGTATGATTTAACTGTAATAATGAGATTTTTATTTGGGGATTTTTTACTCTGAAGACAGCTAAGAAAAATCTCAGTGCTTCCCAAAACCACTCTTTCCAAAGAAACCACAATGTTACAGAGCCCTTTCATCATCCAGCATACGGTACTGTAGAACACAAAAATATACACTGTACTACTTTAAATTAATTCATATTTGCAGGAGACAGTCTGTGTGAGTATGTGCAATTATGAAATGCAACTTTTTTTTCCTCTTGACTTTTTTAGCTGCCTCACCCTTTTTATTTGAACACATACATATGGTGTGTGAGAGTGAGCAAGCTCTCTGTAAATGTTTGGAAGGAGCATCTGTCAGACAATAAAACTTGCAAGAAAACATGCTTCTCATTTAAAGTGTATTTGCTAGAGCTATTCCAGTGTTGGAATCAGTTCATTTGTATAGCTTAGAGGCATTAATAAGAACAGAGAACTGTAAAGTCACCAGAAAAATCCAAACTGTTAGTAGGAATCCAAGGTATTTTTTAAAAGCATTTCATCTATTCGGCATCACAGTCTTCTGGTAGGAACCTGAACCAATTGACATAGAGGAAACCTCTGGCAGTCCGTCCAAAAAGATTGCAAGCAAGAAGATGACATGTTTTCTGCAAACCTGGAAAGTCTAAAGATTACAATAATTGTTGGACCAAAGGGACCCTCTTCAGGCATAAATAGCAAGACTCCTACTGTCTTCTCTTGCAGACCAACTCAGCTGCCAGCAAAAGCAGGTGCTCTCCCCTTACCAGTGCTCCAGAGGAAATATTTAGTGAGTATTTGCAGCTCTTTTTATCAATTAATGTACTACTAGTGCTTTAGTTCTATTTGCATAGTTTTCTCAAAAGAAAAAAGCATTTAAATGTAAGGTTTTAAGGCTGTTAGTTTAAACAATTGCTGGAGTTCAACAGTCTGATGCAATTATCATATTAATTTAAAAACAAAATTTGCACAGCTTTTGACAGCGACTTTTAAAAAAATATTGTTTTTTAACAACTCTGTAGCTTTAACAGTCTGAAGCAATCTCAGTGTATTTTTTATGTACCAGTTCCAAAGAAGTACTTTATATATATTTTAAATGTATTTGATTTTAAATGTTACGCCATAAAATATTCTTTGTTGGACACAAATTTAAAATAAATCATGTCTTTTGGCAAAGTAACCTGCAATTTAATCTTTAGAAGAATAAATATGCCACTAATGTTTTCCACAGAAACAGTTGCTACTCTAATTAATTCAAGATGTGTCTCTAATAAGATTTCAAAAGAAAATCAGAAACAGATTTTTTCTGAGAGGTAGAGCTATGAACAAGGTTAGGATATTTTTGTTTTCATTAGAAACACTTGTCCTAGGTACAGTTACAGATTTGTAGTATATAGCCTGGAAATATCAAATCTGAAAATATTGCTATGTTTCTAGAAGCATAACAATTTTGGTGCTTGGCATATGAATTTTCTTTTTGTTAAAACTTCTGCTTTGTTACATTTTATTAGGTAACTCTTATTCCTTTCAGAGCTCAGAGTGACTAATGTGTCTGCATTTTTTTTTCTCTGCCTGTGGAAGGGAATGGAAAACCTGATGTTTGTCTACTGCTCCTGCAAAGTTATCTGGACGCTGCTTGTAACAATTCTAGGCTATGCCAGCAGCTTGCCTCTGGGTGATGACTCTATTTGCACAGCAGAGGAACTTGCAAAGTACAGTATAATCTTCACAGGGAAATGGAGTCAGACTGCCTTCCCCAAACAGTACCCGCTTTATAGGCCCCCAGCACAGTGGTCATCAATGCTAGGTAAGTGAAAAGTGCACACTTTTAAGATCAGATAAATCTCTTGATCACTGTGATCTTTTTTTTTTCTTTCTTTCTTTTTTCTTTTTTTTTTTTTCTCTAATAGTAGATTTTAACATAACTAACATGAAAAGAAGGAAAATAGCTGAAGTTATTAAGAATAAATTGCAGAAATTGAAATATTCACAATGCTTTCAAAAATCTGCAACTGTTTTCAATTGACTTCTGTTTTCAATTGGCTACAGCTGAAATAAACAGTGATAAGTCAAATGTTTTAGTGTTCACTTATGCTTAAACACAAATTTTTTTAACCTTAGAAGTAAAAGAGAGCATCTGAAGCAATATGGACAATCTAAACCAGACTTTTCTGTCATGCAATGTATTCACTCAAATAGGTGTTACTCATAGTTCTGACTACAGCATGTGGAAAAAAAATGAATACGCCAGCAACGGTGTACGTGATTTTGCTGAAAAGGGTGAGGCATGGGTATTAATGAAAGAAATAGAAGAAGCTGGAGAGAAAATTCAGAGTGTGCATGGAATCTTCTCTGCTCCTGCCATTTCCAGTGGCACAGGACAAACCTCCACTGAATTACAAGTGCATTCAAGACATCCATTAGTAAGTAAATGTACATACTAATCTTTAAAGGTTTTTTGTGTTGTTTTTTTTTTTTTTTTAATGTCACCAGCACACAAAGTTAAATATTTGAGTAGGAATATGACAGTGAAAAATGTTATTTAAAAAAAAAAGCATGTCAAATTTCGGTGAGCTCTTAAGAGGTTCTGTAAAGCAGAAGTATATAAAAGCCCATTTATTTCGAGAGTTAAGTTACAGTTCCAATAAGTAGTACTGGAGAATTTCAAAATAAGTAACGCCATAAGTAATGCTGGGTTGTTTCATTTCATTAGGTTTCATTTGTTGTACGAATTGTGCCAAGTCCCGACTGGTTTGTGGGTATTGACAGCCTAAACCTCTGTGAAGGGGACCACTGGATGGAAGAGATATCAGTAGATCTGTATCCATACGATGCTGGAACCGACAGTGGCTTCACATTTTCCTCCCCAAATTTTGCCACTATTCCACAGGACACAGTTACAGAGGTAGGTGTGCATAAATAAATTAGAACTCCATATCTCTGTATTTTGAGTCCCCCACTTCAAAGCTAACTGTCCTGTAACTACACAAGGCATTCTCTCATGAAATTGATTTCATTATTTGAGAGTACTGATGCTCACTCTGCCTGGATTTATTAATAGCTTTTGTTCATTTCCTGTATTATTCTAATTTATTCGGTAAATGCAGAAGCATCATGAAAACTGGCTTACATTTATTTATATGGAATATCATAGAATCATTGAATGGCTTATGTTGGAGGAGACCTATTCCACCAATATAATAATTCCAACAATTAAACAGGGAAATGAAAATATTCTCCAGAATTTTGTATGACTAAATTTGTATCCAAACAGGAAAAGTCTAAGTAGGAAATTATACATACTGCTGTGGGGAGGAGTTTTCCCTAGAACACGTTGCTGACTCCTGAGTCTGTTACATTTGAGGGAAAGGAGCTGTTGGAAAGCAGAACACATCTCTGTTCCTACTGCAGCTTCTCTACTTTCAGTCTTTTTTTGCTCGCTCTTTGCGTTTGTCATTTTTGGGTGGTGGGAAACAGAGCATCTTAATTCAAAAGTTTTGAATAGTTGAAGCACTCTGTCCATATTTTTGTTAAGGTCAGTTCCTCTAGAGCCAAATGCTGTGCTAATGAGCAGTGAGACAAATAACAGAGAAGCTGGAAAACAATCCATCTGGCCTCCTATACACATATGACATCTGCTACAGTATACCTAATGCTATTATTTAATACTCTTGTATTCTGTCTTGTATTAACATCCATGGTATCTCAACAAACCATTCCAAACATTACCCTGTTTTCAGTACCTCCCATCCCAATCCTCCATCCAAAGGTTGGCACAATTCACTGTGCCCAATTCAGAAGTATTTTGCTCAAACCATTTGGGATTACCAGAAGTAGTTTTGTGAGGTATAGCTTACAGAATCCTTTTTTTCTTAGTTGCCAAAAGGAATCAACATGATGCATAAACATGATTTTCCAGTTATTTGTTGCTAGAATGATGTGTTTCTTCAAGGTTCCCTTTTTGTTTCACAGATCACTTGTTCCTCTCCAAGTCACCCAGCAAACTCCTTTTATTATCCCAAACTCAAAATTTTGCCACCTATTGCTCAAGTAACACTGGTGAAATTAAAGAAAAACCAGTTGGGTTTTCCCATACCTTATCTTAACCAGCCAGCTAAAAGCAATGAAATACTTGACACGTTCTCAGGTAAGTGATTGGCACTGTGATATTCTCAATTCAGTAATTTTTGTTCATTCAAAAAATGTGTGGCACTCTGGTAAGTGATGTAGATGAAATAGGTGATTAGGTAGAGTATTCTCCTATTTGCATTGCAATATTTTCCACACTCACACATGGGAAATAAAACAAGCCAATTGACATAACAGAGAATCTCTGAAAAAATAAGGCATGGATTTCATGCTTGAGCTATGGTTCAAAAGCTTGAGTTGTACTACAGTGAAGTTTGCTCAAGTCTTAGTAACACCATAGATCAGTGAATTTTATGACAAATACACAATATTGATCAGAATTAAAACTCCACAGATTCTTTGCAACTTATAAGTAAATACTCCTGCTTAAGTTCTTGCATGATGATGCAACAGAAGAAATAGTACATACTGTATGCATCCTTGGACATATTTGTGATAGTACCAGACATCTTGAACATAAAAATATTGCTCTCTCTTTTTTTCTTTCCTTAAAATACTAGCAAATAACCTTGTTTAGGTAGAGTGGCATTGGAACATCTGACTCAAGGTAGTTTGGAGGATAATAAGAAGAAAATTTGTTCAGTGTGAAAGACAGCAGTTGGTGTCTATGTAGTTATTCCCTTTATACTTTTCTGATAACTTTTTATAAAGTGTAACAGAAATGGTTGTGAATAAGGCTGACATCCCAAATGCTATTTGAGAGACAGCTAGGGCTAAATCTCCAATGCATTTCTTATATAAATCATGTTCCAAGAAGAGCTTCTCCAGAATAAGTCTGAAGATTAACGCCTCTAGCTGTGTCCTAAAGACCCCCCATGATTGCTAAAATGAAGTTCATTTCCCACGCAGTTAACAATGCACGGTTTATACTTGCATAAGTGCATTTCTTTATGAAGTTTGAGTAAATGTTTTTCTATTAGTAAACAAGGCAATTTTGAAGTGAGTCTATGAATCTTATGTCTTTCCTGCAACATATGAAAGGAACATTTGTCCCTCTTTAGCATACAAACGTAATACAACTCATGCAAAGCACACTATTTCAGGAATCATTTTAAATCATGTATCTCCACTTTACAGCATATTAACCAGTAAATCAGTCTATTCAAAAATATATTCCAGAAGCAAGAGGACAGATTTAATTATCAGAGATCAAACCACGTTGCTCATTCCTGTTAGAAGCATGAGAATCGATTATTTTAACAGAAGCAGTGAGTTCCATTGTAAAACCAGAGATTTATACCAGAAGTCACATATTCAGTACAGCATTTAAAGCTGGTCTTGTGCACAGCTATTTTATGCTCAAATGCTGTAATACAAAGATTTGATGCAATTTCCTGTGACCAGCAGTGTTTTTTATTTAGCCTTTTAAGGAATAAACACCTTTTCATTTTATGGTGGATGTTTTCGATGGAAGTTTACATTATGCAAAGTATATTTGAGTTTCTGATTTCTTTAATTGCAGTAAAACTACATTGAAAACACTTTTAGTATTAAAAAACTTCCAGTTACAGAATAACTTTTATTGGCAAAGGGAACTCTAGGATACATACCAAAAAAGATTTCCTGATTAAAAAATGAAACTTTCTTTGCTTCTGAAGCAAGAGTTAAATGAAGAGGAGTTAACTGGAATCTGATCTAACTACAGGAACAACATATCCCTCCAAAGAAACAGAAATGTACATAAATAAACCAGATAAAAGCTTTAATTCCAGTGTTTTTACTAGGCAATTGAATGACAAATAAATTATAAAATTGACACTGTGTTTTTGAATGCAATATATATATTTTTTAATGTAATCACTTAAAACATAGTCTTTTGGGATAAAAATGCTACATTTTCAATGCAATAAAAAATCTGCTGCACTACTGATGTGGTACCTCTGACAGTCTCTTGACTGCAGTAAAAATAATAGCAATGTCCTTGAATTTAGGAGCTGAAAACAGACGTTTTTGTTTATAAGACAACATATGGATTTCATTAATATCACATGTATTTTTGTATAAGAAAGGATGCTACTTGATAATCATTCCTTAATGGTTTGCCAACTATGTATTTGCCTTCAGCAGAAAATTTTGCAGTTACCTTTTTATTGTGTATTTTCCAGAAACACCACTGGACTGTGAAGTTTCACAGTGGTCTTCCTGGGGTCTCTGCAGAGGTCCTTGCAGAAAAACAGGAACCAAGATCAGAACTCGTTTTGTAGTTCTTCACCCTGCTAATGATGGAACGCCTTGTCCAAGTCTGGAAGAAGAAGCAGGATGTGAACCAGATAATTGTGTCTGAAATAAAGAAAAGATAATAATTTAGATAATTTAAAAGTAAGATAAGTGTAACTAAACCTAAACCACATGTCATTCAGTCTTCCTTATAATTCAGGTATGCCACACTATTTTGCTGACAAGATATATTAGACTGGTTTTGAACATTGCTGTTTAGTATCAAGACTTTGGGGTGTTACATTCTTAAGGTTTAGTATGACAACAGTACTTCATCATTTACAGATCAGAAAACTCAAATAAATCTCTGTTATACACTCTAAGTTCTTGGAGTACCCTCTAGTGGCAGAAAAGAAGACATTTGGAAAGATTTTGCTTCGGATGTGAAAACTATTCAATCAAAAAATCTTAACTAATAACATTCTTAAATACTGTAATTTGTTGATTTACAACTATTTATACCTAGAAATTAATTTTTTTCTCTAAATTATGTATATTGTAATTTATTGGCTATTTTGTTGTCTTTCTAAACATGTTTTACTTGCCTTTCTTCAGAAACTACTTCTATAAATCAGAGTGACCAGATTTTTGCAGTGTGGCTAAGACAATAACATGATTGAGTAAACTCATCTTGAGACTTATGAATACATGAAAATGTCTTTTTTCCCCCCCCCCCCCCCTTCAAAAGTGAGAAGAATATCTACTACGAGGGCACTCAGCCAACAAAATTACTAGAAAGAAACAGAAGTTTGGATAGCAGTAGAAAAACTCTGAACTTAACTTTAAAAGCTTAACTGAGATTTCAGACCTGATCGATGCTTAGTGTGTGCCCCAATGAGGCAACTGTCTGAAAAATAGTTGTTAAGACATTAACACTGTTGGCTGTAATAGAAATTATATAATTCTCTCTGTGTACGCAGTAAATGTGTCCATGTTTCTTTAAATGTGTTTGTTGCTGTTTGTGTCATCCTAAACTTTGCAAAGACAAAACTTAATGAGGTTCTAATATTGTCTAAGGCAGAGGTATACGCATATCTAACAAAACACAGTATTGCAGAAACCACTTCAGATGGCAAGCTTTAATGCTCATATAAATGTTTATTATAAAATTAAGATGATCCGTATCCCATAAAGAATTGTGACAAACAACTAAGAAACGAATTTTGAAATAAGACTGTTCATAGGAGATATTTACAGTCAACTCACAAAACTTTTACAGCACATTGCAATTCTACAAACACACTGAAGCTAAAGTATTCAATAGGAGACAGTGGGTTGCATAGGTTCATTTTGGAATATTTCAACTACAAGAGCACTCTGTATTCTTTGTGGAGCAGAAACATGTAAAAAATTCTCTGTATTTTTTTACAGGAGATAAATCTAACAAAGACCCAAGGGAATCTGAAACGTTATCAGGCTAATCTAAGTTGGTCCTGAAATGCTGATGAATGCACAGTTGTTAGAGCTAAAAATAGGAGTTTCTACATCTTACATTCTTCAGGTTCCCATGGGCATGTTGTCAAAATTATGTCACTATTTTTTTATTATACCTACCTATTTTCTTCATGGTCCCCTGTGTCCATTCTCTAATAGAAAGAATGTTAACAAAATATAATTTATATATTTTGCCTCTAGTTACTTTCTCCTTTTCCAGTTTCTATCTTCTTTGTATATTAATTTTTCCTTATTTAATATTTTCTGTTAAACTTATTTACTGCATAGTTAAACAATTATCTCCATCTAAGAATACTTATACAGAGCATATACTGAAATATGCTCTGAGGACTGAATTCGAACTGACACATCAACTGCTTGTAGACTAAACTCCCACAAGGTTTTGCTGAAGCGAAAGGTATTCTTAGTAGTATTTTTCTAGAAGTTCTCTAAACACTGGAGTTTTGGTTCTTTGCATGTCCAGAAAAAAATACATAAGACTGGCAGAAAATATCTGCATCTGTAGTTGTCTATGTGAATAGAGGATTTCAGCCTTGTAGGATATGATGCAATACTGGAGTAGTCCCAGCATTTACTCAAATTCCTGATGCCAAAAGTTTTTCTGGGAGAAGATAGAATAGAAAAGGAAGTAAATATATAATAAGACAACATATTTCAGTGTTAGAAATACCGGGGACGAGGACATTTCTTCACAAGATTGGATACAGTGAGTTCTACTGAAGAATATTCTCATGATAGAACACATTTCTCATAATGTATTTTTATTAAACTGATTAGTGGGATATGTGATCCCTGTGTGGGATTGCTTCGTTACTTTTACTTTGAGCACAGCTTTAGATTTATCTTCACAGTTCTGAGACAATGAAGAAACAGAGAGAATCTCTTTCTTACTTTTCCCTTATGTGCAGTGTTACTGATGGCTGGCAGCCAAGATAGTGTGGTCCTAAACACATAAGATTAAGGGAAGGAAATAGGTAAATTAATTTCTGTGTTAAACTAATCTCAGAAAACGTTTAGGGAATAAACTTAAAGTGGATTTCAAAGTACAGGGTTTTTTTAAGCAATAATGTTATGTAGGAAAAATCATGTTTGCTGTCTGGGCAGGCATTCTTGCAGCAACAGAAGATATGGTTAAAGGTAAGTGTAGCAGCAAAAAAGTCACTGCTGACTTAAAGTGTGGTTCTACAAAACACGTGGACACCAAATTCAGTACCCATAGTGCAATAGGGTACCTCACTACTGAGTACAGCTTGTCCACTACCCTAGGACATTTGGTTGTGAAAGTATGGAAACTTTTTCTGTTTTCTGATGAGTAGCAATGCCATCTGAAGCTGTCTACATTTCTGTGTGTTTGGGTTGGTTTTTTTTTTTTTTTTTTTTTTTTTTTTTTTTTGTGGGATGTTGCTTTGCTTTTCTGCAGACATCCAAAGTCTTGGTGCTTACTGACTTAGGAAAAAGTACATTTCTAGATAAGTGAGGATAGATGAGGGACTAATGTGATTGGTGAACTGAAAAGATCTCCCACATACTGTAGTGTAAATGCTGGCTGTGTAAGCCTTAATGGACTATACATTTAGTTCTGCCAGATAGTCCAAAAGGACTGGGATGGCTCCTTGGGGAGCGTGTGTGTCCTCTGTTAAATATCAGTAAGGGGAAGGGTGGTCTTGGCTTCACTGCAAACCAGCTCCAGTGTTCTAGCCATGCTGCAGAAGTGAAGCACAATCACAGATACTAGTGAGTTCCTAACTTCTAGAACAGGAGGGAAGGTGTAGGCCAGCCTTTCTCAACACTATGAATACTGTCCCCAGCATAGCAAAAGGGTATGAACAAAAGATATGACACTTGCTAATACTGAAAAATATCAGTGCTGGATACTGCCAATACCAGGTAATTAATTGGAGTACTATGGGAACATTAAACCTGATCCAACCTATAAAATAACTCAGACTATTCCATGACAATATCTAATGCACTCAGAAAATTTCACTCTTGAAATCAGCTGAATCCTGTTTAATAGGATATGATGTGTGAAAGAAATTTTGTCCATGATAATTTACAGGTACTCTAAATGACTGAAATAAAAAGCTCTTCATATAATGCACAGCACCTGGTTGCCTGGAGACTGATTTATCCTTATTTGATTGAAGTCCATCAGCCCTGCTATGATAGCATATGCTAGCCTGAAGTATGGAAGTGCCTGTCTTCAATGTGTTTAGATAGATTAAAGGATCAAATGATGTCCCCTTGTACATCTTGCTTTTGTTCTGGCACTGGAACATTTTTTTTTTAGAGATCTCAAGTCAATAAAAAGCTAAAAGGGTGCTTGCTTAAGTAGTTCACTATCTGAAGCCAAACATGTTCTTTTAGCAGGTGCAGAAAGGCATGAGAATTTATGCAGGTGCATGTCAGTCAAGAACTCCCTGTTCTGGAGAATCCAGTTATGCAATCAGATTCTAAACAATCTGTTCTTATTTGTTCTGAATCCATCAGAACAGAATTTCCATCAGAAATTTATTCTGATGGATAAATGCTAAAGTAGTAATGAAGTCCTAACTTCACTCTTGAGGCTGTTCAGGATCTGATGGCCATGAGATGTGATTTATATATCAGTAGAACGAGGAGTACGAGGATCTTCTGAATGGAAAACTGAATTCAAAATGGGGTCCTCCCAACTGAAAATTACCCCAAAGGTGGGTACTTTGTGCTGTGAAACACCCACATATTCTCTCACTTTGAGTAGTAACTGAGTTTGTCATCAGCCATATAGATTGTTTAGTTTGTAATGGTACAAAGGATATTAATAAAAATCTCAATAACTACTTGACTTACAATACAAATTTATTCAGAGAATTTATTATGCAGTATCCAAGAAAAAAACAGTTAAGTAAATAATCTTATTTAGGTAAAGTGTTAATTCAATATTTTTTCCTTTTATACCATAATCATTATTGTTTCAAATTCATTTTTTGTTCAGGTTCTTCACTTCCTATTTCTTTCAGCCTTTTTATGTAGTCGCTATGATTTATGTACGGATATTGCAATGATGATGATTTAGGTTACAAATTACAAGATTCTGAAATAACAGAGTAGTGAAATTTTAAAGCCATTATCACTGGAGAGGAATCAGAAATGTAAGTTTACATTGAGCATTTTATGGAAAGAGACAGCCAATGCGGTTGCTAATAGAGAACCAGTCTCAAGTACTTGAGAGGTGCTTCCAAGTTTCATACTACTGTATGTGTATAAAATAAAAATTTAATCTAGTTGCTGGGAAATAATAAAGATTTTACAAGTTTTCTTGTTATCTCATTCTACAGAACACGCTGTGGTTATTTATAAATGTGTAACCACCAGCTGCATTTTCTCATAGTTTTTTCTCTCTTTCAAACACACACACTGATAAGCAGCAAATGAGGAAAAACCACAGGGCTACATACTTCTGCAGTTATCTTCAAAAGCAGTGATACATAAACAACTGGGATACATAAAAATAATGAAAAGCCAATTAATCGGATTTTTTATGAGCTTTTGGATTTCTTTTTCACTTGCTTTGTATTTTCATAGTGGAGAAAGAGAAGAGAAATGTGTAATTGAAGATGTTCCCAGTGACACACTAGTAACTGGTAGGTACCTGTCTTTGCTATATGGTGATCTATGCAGTAATAGAATTAGTTTGTAATTTAACAGAAAAAGATGTGACTAATGAATATGGTAAAACTACAGTGATAAGAAAGAGGGGACACTACAAGTCCCTACAACAGTGACTAGCCACCATGTCCTCACATATTTGGCATGTAGATTACATAGAAAAAGTTTTCCAGAGAGCTTAAGTGACCCAACATAGAAAAAAGTCTTCACATTATGTTATGACCCATTCATACCAGAATTTTCTAATTAGCAGTGTTTTGGAAAAAAATAGTTCAAGATGTACTGAAGTTCTATTCAATCTGAGATATCACAAATATAGTAAATGCATGTACAGCACGTGGTGTGTAAGATTGAAAGGTGGTAGTTAAAATGAATATATAATAGTTTCTGCAAATAATGTGATAAATATGAAAGACAACTTAAAACAATGTGATTTGAAGACAGTATACTTTCTCTTCTGGTGGTCTCAGTTTGTCCTCTGGATGCTGATCTTGCCAGAGTATTAGAAGTAATAAAAAAGTATCACTTGTTAATCAGTCTTTTGTCTAGTATTCTAAGATTTCCTAGTGTAGTAAAAATTCATTGCACTTCACGCTGCTATGAAATGCCTGCTGAGCAGTTTCATTTGTAAGTACATGAAATACATGTATTATTTTATTGCTAATCATTTGTCTTTATATTGTTGCTGGAAAAAGCAATAAGGATGTTTAATATTAAGCTATGTTTTATTTAACAGATTTTTATCTGTGTTTTTATTCAGGGAATTACAAAGTACAGAAGTGGGATATGCATAAACATGACTTTCTTGACTCTGCTCCTGGTTTAGGAATGTTTGTGACTGTTCTAACTCCTTCCTCTGAGGTAAATATTCTTAATGAATATTTCTGTGTGATTCGTGTATTGACTTCTGATACTGGCAGACAAAACTATCAAAAAATACGGATGTTTTGGGGATAAAGTGAATCCATAATCCATCAGCCAGCTCAGTATTTTGATGCTGAAATGTATAA